CAAATCAGTTGCTGTTTTCTTCTGCCTAACCATTTCTCAATCCAAAATCTAGTCTCCAAATTCCAGATTTTAGTAAATATCAACAATTCTCAACAATTGCTGGTGGTGTGTTAAGTTCTAGATCGGTAAAAATACACTATCGCGGAAAACCCCATTCACTCAACGTCAATCATAATTTATAGAAATGAAAGTGGTGTACTAACTTTATGTCAGGTGGAAATGTGGAATTTGAATAATATTGCTAAAAATAAGACAGCATCAGTGAGTTGTAAATAGAACAGTTTTGCAAAAGCTTCAAATGCTATTGATGGTGAAGTTTGTTCATTATTTCAAAATAATGGTCTCTATTGCATCCATTCAGGAGATGAAACTGAACCATGGTGGAAGTTTGATCTAGAGAAAATGAGTGTTATTTTTGCAGTAACAATAATTGGAAGAGGTTCACTGTTTAGTGAAAGATTAAAGAATCTTGGTGTAACTGTTTCCACTGACAATGAGATTCCTACATCACAATCATCATTAAACTGCGGCTATTACGATGGACAGTTGCCACTGTATACAACAATAAGATGTCCAAAATCAACAGTTGGTCGTTATTTATCAACAATTAAAATCTCAAATACCAACAAAGAAGCTCTGATTGTATGCAAAGTTGATGTCTTTGGTCATAATTTGGATGATAATTTTACAATAAATACAATATTTTACAATGAAACCAACTATTTTTACAAAACTCAATTATTCACTAAAGATTATTTCTCTTTAATATAATACATGTATTAGAATCACCCTGGAAAAGTTTTACTCATTTCCCTGTAATTTTAAAACGGTACATTGTAGGCCTATGATATTCACATGCAACTAAAAGCTTTTTTTGAAAACATAGGCATTCTATCATAAACCATTGAGTAAAACAGCTTCTTTAGAGTATCATACAAAGTTTTCTCCACAACCAAAAAAAGTTTGGATTGGTAAGTCTGCAGACAAACTGATAGCATGTGTGTTTTGGGACAGTGAACGGCTTATTCACATAGAATTTCTAAGTTCGCAAGTCATTAGCATTTTAAAGAGATTAAAATAAAGAATAAATAGAATCAGGCCTAGTAAAGAGGTGATTTTATTACAAGATCTAGTAATAAAATACATAGGAGAAAAAACATTTTCCTTGACTTTGTATGAAGAAGATAATTATTCTTTCATTTTCTCTGTAAATATCATTTATGAGAAAAATCATCTGGAATGAAAGCTTTGTCAAGAGTGAAGTGTAAGCCATCTATTCCACTAGGATTTCATTGCTGTCTTGTTGTATTAACAAGGCTACAACAACTATCAATGGATAGAATATCAGAATTTGATTTGGAAACTTTACTGAGGACATTTTCAGCTAAACATATTCCTGATGTAATTTTATCAGATTGAACACCTTTTAATTTAAATTTTATTCTTATTTCTATTTCCAAGTTATTCTTTCTCTCGTGAATATGATGCACTTTGCCCGGGAAGAAAGGATTATCCGTTTGGGAAACTGTTACAGAGCACTTCAATGTTTTTTTATAGGTAAAATATTGTAAGCTTTTACAATTCTGCAGTTGAGGAGACAGTAAGAGAGTGAAGCATTTCCAATGCTCCAAAATGTTATATTTGCTTTAGAAGCTTACAGTTAAGTTGTTCAAGTGTCAATCAACTATTGAATGTTATATTTTTGTATGCTTTTACAATTGGCTTAGGAGTATCTATGTAATTGCTATTACTGGTCAGGACAATAGATATATGAAATATAGATTTTGCTTCTCTACTGAGAAAATCAAAAGTCTCTCAATTAATAATTCTAGAAGAATACAACAGAAAAAACAGCCCCATTGATCCCATTCTAGAATATATAAAGATGTTGGCTATGTTGTTCGTCTTTTATGGGGGCCTTATGTATACGTTACGTTTTCGTGGTGACCCATTTTATTAAATTAAAGAGAAATATTGCTATTTGCAACTTGACTGCTAAATGCAGCTGACCAATAACAAAACAAAAAATTTTCTTTACCAGTTGAGTCATTTGGGAAAGTTCAAGAAATTATAAATAAATGTGACTTTTTTATTATATAAGTAATTTAAAATTGACATTTTCACCTATAAATTTTCATTTCTGAAATGTTAAATTTAAACAATGCACTGGGAAATATGAAAAATTATTACATAATGTATTCCATCTCTTTGTATTGTGAGCATGTAAAATTTTTATTGACTGTCTATATCAATTTCTTGTAGGATGAGAAAATGTAATTGATAATGAAATTTTAATTCAAAAATCATAGATTATGTAAACTATTCTTTCCTATTTAATTAATGACAGAATATGATAGAAATTATTCACAAGAACATATGTATTGTACTGCTTGTCTCTAAAATATACAGTTGGCTTTTTAAATATTAATTTATATTAGTTTTAAAATATTTCAAAAATATTTCAAAAATTGATTGTTTAGTAGACTCATCTAGTTAATTTGATCTGAACAGAAATGATATACAATTATTGATCTACTTTGTATAAATAAAATAGTGTTTTTTTGCATTGAACACTCAAATTAAAAATTAATGATAATCAATTGGTTAAAGCTAAACAAGTATTCAAGTATTCAACCAGAACAAGAAGCTGAAATATCCTAAATTATAAAACAAACTATGAATACAAAAGAGACATGTCAGTTTTTTTCTCGATTCCTTTTTTGAATGTTCAAGATAATGATTCCGTATTATTTCATATTTTACGTATTGAAATTTGTAATTGGATTAAAATCAAGTGATATTAACTGAGTTTGTTTTTTCTTTAGTTAATAATTGTTTCATTCTGAACAGATGGAAAAGTTATAACAGGTGACAACACATCTTTTGGGGCTAGTTGTCATTCATCACATGAGTTTAGCAACAACTTTAAGTGTGAAAATGTATTTGATCCTGTCTGGCAAGATTTGGCTCAATGGGCAGTAGCATGCCCACATTCAGGTTGCAATGATCATTGGATTGAAATTACCTTTCAGAAACAACACGATATTATTGATATTTGCATAAATCAAAGACCCTTTACACCATCTATAATACTTACATCATTAAACCTGACATTAAGAAGTTTAGATGAGATTAACGTTCGTTTGAACTTGTACGAAACTTGTTTTCTTTTAAAACCTGGAGATGGAATTGGCATTTCTAAAGTTAAATTTAAAACTTCCGGTACAACTTCATCATCACATAACACCGGATTTCAATCAATACTTATATACGTGTATGATGGTAATAGATTGGTTGTTATATAACGGTTCTTTTTCTCATCAGATCAATTGCCTTTCCCTTTTTTTTTTACAGACGAGGCAACCAATGAAGATTTACATTTTATAAATATAGCTAATAGTGAATTAGGAGCAACATGCATTACATCATTTGGCACTAGCTGTTCAACAGTAATTGATAGTGCTCACAATACCAAGTGGCACATGGACTGTTCCCTAGAAGCACTGCACTATACATGTCAAAGACAATTTTTAAATGTAACATTCACTTTTCCTGCCAAACCACATCTACTTTGTATAGCCAATGAGTACTTTTTCAATAATTGCGTACGTTACAAAAATAAACTTAACAACTTGTTTGTCATTTCCATAGCATTCCATCAAATACTTATACAAGGTCATTAATAGCTGTTTGGAGTTCTAATCATGCTCAACGGATTGAACTTCCAGAGTCTCGTGAGAGGAAATGTTTCAAGTATTCTGGAGATTCTAATATTGAATATTGGATTCAATTGATAATTGTGCATGGAGTTTCTGATGACAAGAATGCTCTATTGATAATAGATGTTTTTGCTAAAGGTCAATATCTTCTTTTAAATGTCAAGTATATATTTTACTCTATTCCCTCCATCTATCTTTCCATGATTAGAAGACAATCAGAAAATTTATAGTGTTCAGTATCACTTTTTTACTGAATATCACCTACCAAAATATTTATGGAAGAATTTCACAACAATTACCTTCCAGGTCAAAGGTCAACAAAAAAATCAACAAAAAGATTGTTCCTCCTTAGCGTTCCGTTTTCTAAATATTAATGAAACATATTTCGATCTATCATTAGATTATAATGCTATTTCTGATGAGAAATCATTTATAAAGATATTTAATGCTCAAAATTTTACACAATGGTTTAACATTTCACAATCATTGATTGATTGTCACAAATGGAACTATTTTTGGTTAGAATTCTCTCTTGGTCAAATAAAATTTGGTTATGGAAAACCAAGTGCAATGTCATTATCATACTTTTCAATTTATTGCAATTATTTCATACATGTTGATAAAATTTTTGTTAGGAATTTAGATGAATTTGTCATTAATAATTTAAAAATAAATGATCAAGGTTTGTTGTTTTTTTTTTTCTTTTTTTTCTTTTGATTTTTTTCTATTAGAATTCATATTTCAGATGGTAGAAAGATTACTATTCTTAATACTACTCATCATCAATTTTGTGCTGTATATAATTTCTTTCATGAATTTATCTATGCTTGCATTCCTTTACAATCAAAATTATCATTTTTCCAATTGAAATTGGAGCCTGATGATCAATTTAAGATAAATCTTATCAGTCCAATTGTTATTATTGATAAAAAATTGTCTATTAATGAAACAGATATTATTCAAAATTGGCAATATTCTTTAAAAAATCAACAATTTAATCATTTTCAAAATTTTTGTTTACCAGATTTGAATATTCAAAATTCCAAGAATATCAGTTTTATATGTAAAGGAATTAATGTTGACAGGAAATTTATTATTATAGATATAATTTTTAAAAAAAGTCTAATTTTTTTGCACAAATTGTCATGCAATTTATACTCTTCAGAGTTGTAGAAAATATAACATTTTTTATTGATCAAGGTCATTTTGTTCTTTTGCAAATTCTATAGTTAATGCTGATGCTACTGCTGTTCCTGTTACCATAAGCAGTCTTGGCTTTCCTTAATGTCCTACTAAACTAAGTAAAGTTCCTAATAGTAATAATGTTGAAGGGATCCCTATTATTGCCATCATTATTACTGTTATCATCGTTTGCGATGGTGGTGTTGACACAGCTGCAACTGTTGAAATCACTGTTGCTGTTGCTGCTGTTGCTGAGATAATTGCCAGATATAAAGTTTCATCATTATCAAATATTCCTTCTTCGGAAGAAGATTTTACTGCCAATAGAGCTGCCATTATTGCCAATCCTGTGGCTACCACTGATATTTCGGTTGATATTGGTAATAATTCTGCTGCATCTGCAATTAATGATACTATAGATACAGCTCTGTATTGATCCAGGAATTGTTGAAATAAGGTTTTTGCCAGTACTTCTGCCACTATTGCAACAACTACTGCAACATGTCTTGCAGGAATAAATAAAAGTACTGCAGCTATCTCTGATCCAACTACTGTTCCTGAAAATATTTCAGCTCTCTCAATATTGGAGTTTGTCATAGTTAGGGATAACATAAATACAACTACTGCAATTATTACTTTTGGCATAGTTACAGGTCCTAGTATTAAGGATATTGACACCACTGTTGTTGCCATTAATTTCACAATCATATAAATCCTATCATTTATTTTATAATGTCCTCTCAGAAATGTTGATACTACAATTGCTCCAGCTACAGCAATAATGCATATTGCTGCTCTAGGTCCACCTATTCCCAAGAGTACTGCTGCCAAATAAAATATACCAACTAACTTTCTCTTTGTTGAACTCTTTTCTCTTTGTGGCCAATGTCTTTTTTCTTGCTCCCAAAAATTATTCATATCATACCTGTTCATGGCTACCTTATGGTTTTATCATGGTTATATTTATGGTTATAATTTGCACACTGCACGTAAATAGAAGAGGGAAAAGAAACATTTAGAAAAGTCATTGCATTGAAGTCTCTTCTAATGAACCAATTAACATTTATATATCAAAATATACAAGAAAACAGACAAAAATTAACATTTTATTTGTAACATACTGGCATTCTGGTGATTATCTCATAGTTGGCAATCAATAAATTAATGTATATGTACTGAGTGTTATAAGTATGCTGTCATCAATGTTTTAACTGAGCTAGTCCATAAAAATTATTACTCTACTGCATTGGATTAGTCAAAATTGAATAGGAACAAATCTGATAATGTATATAGTAAATGACAGGAAAAACTGGACACTGTAAATATTTTTTCATAAGTTTTTTCCTTATTTGGCCATACAAAATAAATATTTAACTACTATGTTTACATTTGTTTTGGTATTCAGGTAGATACCTCAAACAACTTATTTGCTTTTCTAAGTTAAGTTTTCTACTTATTGATTATATTAATTAAAGTATATCAGCAAAGAACAGATCTCACCTCTACAGATTGAAAATGGAGAAAGAATATTGTCTCAAAATGATTAGTGAAAATCGAAATTAGCGAAAGTTTTTTTTTTTACAGATGAGGCTAGATTCTCACTAAGTGGACTTGATGACTTTATGACATGGACTATCAAAATTTGAGGTGTTCCAATATTTCTGTCGTTTACATTATATGTAAAAGAAAAATGTATGAAGATGATTTAGTCAGGATGAAGAAAAAGAATATCGTACTGTTTCTAATTGTAAATTGAATTGAATATACTCTGAAGGAGTTACCAGAAGTTGCTCAATCAAATATGTGACCAGCTTATGGATGTTTTCTTTCACTTTATGGATGTTTTCATTTAGGAGAGTTTCATTTAGTAAGAACTAAATTGATCTTTAAGATGAGCTAGTAAACTCCTACAATTTACATTACCATAAAAGTACAAATAGATAGGCATCAATCTTATTGATTGTAAAATTTATCTTTAATTCTATTGTCACAATCAGTCAAGTTATATTTATCTATTGATATAAATATTTTGATACAATTCATTATTTCCAAATGAAGATTTTCCATTTTCGGGATGGGTTTACTGCATGTTCAAACAATTGGAAAATGTTACCTTTGAACAGAAAATATTTTGTCCATTTTTGCTTCTGAAATGCATTTACTAAACATCTTGTTTCAGTTTTAGACTTGGTTTTATATGTTTTAAAATTGGATGGAAAAAGGGTACAACAGTCATCTAGTATCTTATTCTAAATTCCTTTCGCTCTTTTAAATAATCTTTGATTGCAATTTAAACGTTTAGTTATTAAAACACAAAACATTCAGCAGAAAGGAAGAGAATGAAAGTGTATATATACGAAACTGGTAGCCAAAAATTTCTTATTAGCTTTATTTGATAGTAGTGTCACCCAACAGATTTTATTAAATCTCCTGAAAACATTTTCGATTCATTTCTCTTTGTTTCACATTTTATCATTTTTCACTTTTCACTACAGAAAGTAGGAAATAATATTTAAATAGGACAGACATAACTGAAATTCCATTTTGCAAATTAGGCCTAGAAAAACTATTATGACACCAATAATTCTGTATATTTCAAATAGCAATATACCATTAAAAAAATAGAAAACTAATAAGGGAATATCTGAATCATTCTCTCTTCTTTTTTTTTACATATGGGAACTAGAGGGAGCAACCAGTGACCTATATATATATATATATATAAATCAATATATTAAAACATTCATTCTTTTACAAGATAGAATATAACTGTCATACAGAGAAAACAGGATGGTAGTGTATAGATTTGCATCATTTAGAGAATTAGTTGCTGCTGATAATAATGATAACAAGAATAATGAATTTTCATATGTTGATATTGTACCGTCCTGCACAAAAAAGGTCATTTCAAAAAGGCTAGGTTTCAACCATTTAGGTTTGCTATATTCTTGTCAATATTTTTTATCTATAATTATTAATTTCCCTTTTTACTATTCTAAAATTAGCAAAATGATGATTGAAGCTAATAAATGGTTAAATGAAAATCCTGATTTCGTTGTGAAAGGATGCGAAACATTTGGAAGTAGTGTAAGAGATATTTCAAAAACAGGAATATGTACAAAAACTCAAAGGACACAAAATTTTATAGACATATATGGAGGTTGCAGAAATGGAGTTAATTATGTCCATTATAGCACCTTGGTTTTGAAATGTTTAAGGTATTTTATCAGTTTGTTTTTGTATATCATTTGAATTATGCAATATTTCTTTTAAAATATCTAGGCTATATGTTCAACCTAAACAAAATGTTGAATGATGACGTTATCTTATCTCTCCAAAAATATATCAGTTATACCCATATGATACAAAAAGCCAATGATTATTTAAAGAGTAATCCCATTCCTGGAAAAATTCTTACCTGTAATAATTAAAAAAGGTAAACATTTTCCGAAATATACATTTGAAACATTTTCCACTACTTTTCAAAAGTTAAATAAATGGGTTTCTACCCAAAATTTTCTCAAAGTAATCATGAATAGATTATTATTAACCCTAACCCTAACCCCAAGACCTAAACTAAAGAGTTTCTTTCCAACTTGGCAATGTGTAAAGCTTGTTGAAGGATATTTATCAAATGGATTATTGTTTCAACATTGCTCAAAAATATCTTGTCCTTATGGCCATTATCTTTGTTATAGAGAAGCTTATTGCATTTCTCTTGATTTAGTTTGTGATGGATTTAACCAATGTCAACAGGGTGATGGTGAAGTTGATTGTGGTAAAAAAAAAATACACCAGTTCATATCAATCTATTCATGATTACTTTTAGAAAATTTTCAAGTAAAATACCTTTTTTGAATATTTATCAAATATGCAATGGAATTGATGAATGTCCTGATGGAAATGATGGCTTATTATGTAAAATTTCAATGCTAAACTTTCGTGATTGTATTGAAATTTCCACATTTTCATTCAATTGTCAATTCAAGATTACACCTTAATCTAATAAGGCAATTACAAACATTCATTATAAAAGGTTGTTTTATTCATTCAATAGAAGGTGGAAGTTTTAGCTATTTAATTGGATTAAACACATTCATTTGTCATGATACAATTGTCTCTCATCATGAAATTGTAAAAGCTTTTATGGATATGATTAATATATCTAAAATCTATACGAACAATCCAAAAATTTTGCTGTCTTTCTATAAAATACATTTGTTCAGGTGTTAATTGTTGGTCAGGTAAACCAGTCAACTTTCCACAGTGTACAATGCTAATTCATTCCAACATTTATAATAGAAACTTGTAGGGTATCAAATGTAATAAGAGGCATAGGCCTATTTATAATTGATGAAAATTACAAAAAAATATTTTGCTAATAATATTCCCAAATATCATCATTTTCTCAATTTTTTCAGTATTACATAAATATTACTCTTTATCTATAGAAATTTAGACAAAATAAAACTATTATTGAGGGAAAAAACATTTTTGACCGTTTTTTTAAATTTGGCCTATTAAAATTTAGGGTGTATCAAAATTTATGCGGACTACTTTATTCAATATTATAAACAGAGTCATTGGCCTAACTTGAATAAAAGAAGATATAGGAAAAATGAGAGTTACAAGTTCTAATTTTTGGGTAGCGCCATCCAGTTGTAAATTTACATATATGGACCATTATAGGCCTATTATTCTGTAAGTTAGAAATTGATAAATGACATATAATTATGAACAGTTATTAAAGAGCTTTATTACTGGTTTATAATATAGTGGTGGACTTTAAAATTTAACTTTGTAATGAAAAAAGTTATAATATCATTTCTGACAATCCATATTTTAAATTCTCTTGTCAACCATTGGTTCTACCAGAGAGACAAGTTTTATGTAAATGGAATTAATAGATTGTAATATGGGAAATTTAAGAATCATTGCTCCAGCCAGTAGAACTAAAAAATGGTGTTCAATTAATCCAACTATATTCAAAGAAAATATAGTATGCTGTCTATATTTCTCTTTTCAAAACATTCTACTCAATTATCTGTTTTTATCATTTTAGGAATTTGAATTTCACTCATTCAATCTACAGAGAAATACAGCAATGGATTACAATGCTTTGACATTTTCTAGAGGTTTTCATCATATTTAGCATTATGGAAGAGTGAATAAAGTGGGATCAGTATATACACATAGTATCACCTTCATTGCAAGGTCAAGGTCACAGTGCATTAAATACATTTTTCTAATTTCTATTTATGCTAGCACTGGAAAGAGTCGAATTAAAATCATTTCTTATTGACTTTCAGTGCAGTTCTCTCTGAACTTTGAGTTGATTTGAAAAATTCATATGATCTACTTAGAGCATCGCCTAAAAGTCTGCTAGGTGTCTTGTAGCTATGAATATCATTAATAAAAATATCAAGATAAATTCCCATCACTGAATTCAAAGATTTCTTTACAACTTCTTCTGAGCCTTCCGCTACATCATCAGATATTAAAGATATAGTTGCTGTTTTCTCTTCATTCGCAGCAAGTGATACTGGATTGTCTCCAACAGCAGCAATATCAGGATTAGTTAGTTCAATACTTTAAGAAATAGATAAAAAATTTGTTTGTAAAATGATATTATTATAAAGAAAATAATGTTGAATTTTTTTTTCTTACAAACAAATTTCACCCACACTTCCAGCATTAATGATAATTTCTAAATTTGTACCTTCATTATAAGGATCACAAAAAAAAATTACTTAGGCAGAAACCAGCCAAAAGCAAATAATATTTCAAATTCATCCTTCAACTGTTGTGAAAGAAATGAGAAAAATGAATATTGTAACCTGTAAAAATATCAATAACCCAATAGAAAATATTAGGAGGTTTAATCAAAAAACAAGTTGTCATCCTAGGTGCTAAGTTGAGGGTTGAGGTACAGAT